AGCGATTCTCTGCTCAAGGGCAAGGTTCAGAGTCTCTTCTGTCATCCACTTTGGTCTTCTCTTCTTTTCTTGTCTTTTTAGTGATCTCTTTCTTTCTTCATGGATAATGTTCTTGATATCTTCCCATAATTCATCTGGCTTTCGGTCATTGGTGTTCAATGCATCAAATCTATAAAGTAGTCTGTAGGAAATATGTAATATATGGGACACAGTTCAAGATAGTTTAAGTGGGAAAACATCTACAGGTTCATAAAAAGCAGGATACCATTTAAACTGGAAAGAAATATATCAGATTACATGTAATTATCTCTGGTACAAGGATTAAAGGTAAGTGTTTTCTTCGTTATACTTTACTCAGCATTTTACAGATGTTCTTACAATGATCATGTCTCACTTATCTAGTCAGAAATGGAAGAAAAAAGAGCAAACTAACTTGAAAAAAAAAAAATCAAAAGACCTTTGATTCTCTTTTCAGAATAACAGAAGATCAATAACCCAAACCAGTTACCACTGAGTCAATTCCAACTCACGGCCACCTCATGTGGGTCAGAGTAGAACTGTGTTCCACAGGGTTTTCAATGGTTGATTTTTCAGAAGTAGCTCACAGAGGCTTTCTTCTGAAGTGCCTCTGGGTGGAGTTGAACCTCCAACATTTTGTTTAGCAACTGAGCAAGCACATTTACCATTTATACCAGAAAATAAATTCAACTACCACTCCCTCCCCCCACCCCCCCCCCCCCAAAAAAAACTCTGCCTCTGCTAAAGTCAGTGTGAGCAACGATTAGCTGTGTGGTCAGTTACTTGGTCATTGCCACCATTCATTTAACCATGTGTTCCTTGATGAACTGTCCCCTGCTGACTAAGCAAAGTGAGCTGGGAAACAGTTTAACTCAGAGTTAGAAATACAGAAAAATGGAGACCTGAAGCTCCAGGTGGTAAGACGCATGTCTCACTCACCACCATGTTCCTGGGACACAGCAGAGACCTCCTCTCACTTGGGAGGTCTTTAATATTTGATGGAAAAAGGTAACCTAAATCTCTAAGGGAGCACCATACAAAGTGAATAAAAAATATAATCAATGAGGAATTTTCCAATGCCATCAAGGAAATCAGTTTAAATTTACTGAACATTAGGTACTGGTTGATTTGGCTAAGTGTCTCATGAATGCTACATCACATGCAATCTTCCTACCCTCAACATCAAAACTCTGCTTTTCAATGATATTCCACAAGTTCATTATCAGTTTAGATTACATCTCTGGGCTTTAACTGACAAAACATTAAACGTATTTTTTTTGTGTATGGTGTTGGTGGATTAAGCACAGCACAAACACAGACTCCTAAATGGTAAACAAGAACCCAGATACAAAATGCAAAATCAAAACACTAAGTAATTTTACTGTTCAGTCTATATGACATCCTCTCTCTAAGGTTAAACAAATTTTAAAGGCCTACGTGTTCATGCTGTGGTGACCATTTCTGTATTGTACTAGAGCATGCAGGAATTCCACGTGTGTACATTTCAGTAGCTGCAACGCCTCAGAATTATTACCACATTCCCCACCTTATGGCCCTGATGAGTCCTCAGGAAATGTAGCTGAAACTTCAACATTAAATAGCTTCTAACAACTAGA